GATTCAACTTTTGCTAAAAATGGATCTTTTAACTTTAGCCAACTTTCGAGTCCAATGTAAAGTGATTTCCAATTTTCTTCACTACTGGCTTTTATATCAAACTTTGATTCAGCACTATTCCATCCATGCTTCGTGAAAAGATTGATTATATCGTTATGATTTCTGGCAACAATACATGCGACTGATGAAATTACGTTCAAGTCGTTTTTTGAAAGTGCACTGCGTGCAATATCCAATGTTTCGGTCAATCTTTGGTCTGGAACCTGCTTAAATAAGGGTATTCCAAGATTGGCGGTATCGAAGTTATGACACTTGGATTGATCGACAATTTTGATCATTTCTATGGCAAATCGAGCTCGATCAGGATAAAATGAATAACAAAGGGATTCAGGAGACAAAACCGATAAATCAGGCTCATCATTAGCCTTAACGTTAAAAAGCTTGATGAGAATTTGAAAATCTAGGTCGTCCAAGCAGACTGCCTTTATCTCCCCCTGACGAATAACAAATAAGTAAGGAGCTGCATGTAAGCCCTGTACACCTGAATCACCAACAATCCATTCATATTCTGAAAAGGTGTTGCAGTATTTAATAGAATTGAATGCTGTGTCCAGCGCATCCAGAGAGATAAAAAATTTCCATCGGGTATCTTCACGACATCTAATCTGCTTAAGCGTATCCATGTACGATTGGGCGATATGGACTTCATTTTTTCCTAATAAAGACAACAAATGATTTAAATCATCTATTTTCTCAGGCTGAAGTGGTAATTGAATCTTCGAATGTAATGCTTTTAGTGCATAAAATTGGCTTTCAATAGATCCATTCATTTCTATTGCGGCGCTTATAATTCCAAGGATTTGAGGGATCTCGTCCGAAGAATAAACTTCTACTTTTTCATGAATTTTGATCACCAACGAAAAATTTTCAGAAATACTTGGTAAAGCAATTCCAACTTCAATTTTTAGCTTTTGGAGAGCTTCACTGATATTGAAAAGCCGCCGAAACGCACCGGTAGGTGAACTTCCCTTCGTATACAATAATATTTTACTATTACTCTCTGGATCCATCCATCGATTGAGTGCATCTGAACTTGAAAAAAATAAAATATTGGCTTTCATAAAGGTTGCGTC